CGTCGTGCTCGTTCGCAGTCCGTCAGTCTATCGGCAACCTGCGTACCAGTCGTGTCGCAGTGCTTACGTAACAATATATTATTATTATTCTTACTTGCCTGACCGGTGTGTTGTTCATTTATAAATCGCGGTCTACGTTTTTTCGTTCGTCCCTCGTCGAGTTACTCGTCTTTTCTGCTCGGTCTCTCTAATTGGTTAATCGCCACACGATTGTATACATATACAAAGGGTCGATCAACATAACACATATACATATCTCTCAACCTACTGTATAAACACGCAAAGAAATATAATACAAGTACACGCAAAATACACGACGAACGCACGCGCCGCGCTCGCGAAAAACGCGCTTTACGTCTCCCGCGAATCGCCGTTACCTGCCTCTTGTCTGCACACGTCGTCGCGCGGATACATCCGGATCCGGATCGTCGTCGGTCAACGTTGCCGTGCTCGTCCACCTCCGGTCGCATGATCGATTGATACGCAATTAATCAGCATCGCCTGGTATACGTGATACACAGTACGTGAAGGAGAGGGAGAGAGAGAGAGAGAGCGGATCGCACGTCGCTGCTGCATGGGCTACTACCTGCCGCCGGTAGATGAACAAGTGTCGTCGACGAACCACCACTGTAGAGCACGTTCTCTGGGTTCGGCCCTCCTCCACGGGCACGGTGTATCGATTGCTCTAAAATAGACGCGTGGGAACACCTGCAGGCTACATACACATTCTACCTACAGCTCAGACTGTCTCGTTCTCTCTTTGGCCCTCTCTCTCTCTTACTTTCTCTTTGCATTGGTATATCCTGACGCCCTTGCAGCGCGTGACAGGTGCAGCGAGAGTAACGGTAGCAGCACCGCGCTGTCGTAGGGCTGGAGGTGGAGGAGGTGGTGGCGGTGGAGGCGGAGGTGCAGGCGACGAAGAAGAAACGTAACAGGAAGCGGAAGAAGCGAAACGACGAAAAGGAAGAGAGAGAGAGAGGGTAGAACGGAAGAAAGTACAGCAGCATACATACGTACATATACGTGCGCGCGCGCGCTTGGGAACGGAAAGGAAAGGAGGGAAAGGTGGAGAAGGAGGAAGGAGGCGAAACGCCTGAGTTTCTCGCGAGAAAAGGGTTATTTCCAGTGATACGTCCTGGAGGCGCCTGTCGTCTTCGCCGGTACAACCATAACGCCGCCCGCTTTAAAACGCCCGAGACGGGATACGGTGGACTCATCGCCGCCACCCGCTCGAACCGCAGCCCCCGGAAACCCCGGACCATCCAGCAAACTCGCTTGCATCATGGACGCACCGCTCTCACAGAGTATGGACTCCGTCAACACGGTGGCCACCGGTGAAGACGAGGTACGTGCTCTAACTACTACACGGTACATTGTATCGTTAACGATGCGCCTGTGCATTACGCACGATCCTCTCTCTCTCTCTGTATATACGTGTATGTATCAGAGCCGCCGATCGCTTCCTCGTTTTCACCCTTCTCCCTTTCTCTCTCATTCGTCGCGGCGTGACCGTGCGCGTACACACATTTGCACCGAGATCCGACATACTTCCTTCCTTCCTTCCTTCCCATCAACTTACCTCGGCCACCCTCCATCCATCCCACTCCCACGCTCGCCATATTGCTCGTTTCTCTCGCACTCTCTCCGTGTACTTCTCATTCTCTTTTTCTCTTCCTCCCTCCGTTTCTTCTCTCTTCTTCTCTCTCCATCTCGCTTACTCTTTCCATTGCTTGCTTCTTCCGTCCATCGTATTTTCCCTCTCCGTTCTTCTTTTTACGGGTTGCACGTCACGAGACGCGCAGGCGCACTGTACGCGCGAACTTTACGTGCTATGCTGTGTTCTGCTGCTGCTGGTACACATATACGTACATACATAGGTCCTGTGTCCCGTGGAAGCATGTGTATAGAAAGCGGTAACGCTTGGAGAGTGTATATGGGTAGAGAGAAGGCGGGAATTCGATCGTGCACCACAATACACAGTGTGTGCCGCAGGTGACTCGTTTCCATCGTCCGCTCGATCGGACGGTTGGCTGGCTGGCTAGGCTGGTTAGCAGGCCGGCTTCCTTCCTCGCAGTCGAGCACCTGAGAGAGTGACGCGCCACGCCAGACCACGCTTGTTATTGATTTTTCCGCAACGCGAGAGCCGCGGAGGGCTCGCTATACGCTTCGTGTCACATCATATGCTGCTGGATTACGCTTCGTCACACGACACACGCATTATCAGACGCTACATAAGTAACGACGACCGCGCAAACCTTCTGACTACTGGAGTCATGTACAAGTACATGTATATTGAAAGTATTTCTACGTGTTTTACTCGTATGAAAGGCTAAATCTCTCTCTAACATAATCCGAGATCATGTTCGCTTGTGATAAACCGGTCGATCGTTCAACTCAGCGGTTATTAGCCGCTGGCACCTGTCTCACGAATTCTCGATTAACTTTCACGAGATCCGTTGCCCTCTCTGTCCCGTGCTGGCCTGTGTGGCGCTTACTCAAGCTGTTCTTTGATCAAACGTGCAGTTTCAAGTACAATATATTGATCGCTATCAATGTTTGATCAACGCGTCGACGTGCGAAATTTAAACAAGGTGTTGGATTAAAATTGATACATACAACGGTATTTTAAATTTTTCATCATATGTCAGTGTGATACCTTTCAAAGTGACCCCTATACTTTATTCTATTTTAACTGGTTTTACATCGTCTCCTTCACGTGACTCTACCTCTGGGGGACAAAATGGAGTCGCTACCAACAATAGGACCGGATCAAAGACAATTTATTATTCACGACAGAATTTCTCTTACTTCTACCATCGTCGAACATTCGAACATTTTCCACACTTTTTACATATCTTTTCATTCGAGTGCTTTACACACGATCGATTAAAGTTGAAAGAAAATTAAAACGGTTAAAACTTGTATTCACAAATCCGATTCTATGTATGTTTTTAATCTCGCCAGTGTCTTGCACAACGCCGTGAAATATCGCGATACTTATTTTCGTCCAACAGCAATATTCGTAGAATTATTCCTGGCGGTTTGTTTCCTCGTGCTTCCAACGTGTTGTCTCTGGTAAACGGAACGATAATTTATCTTTCGAATCCTCTCGATTCAGTCACGTTTCGTACGATCCTACGGATCGCGATTTTAATGTAGAGAAAATCATGATTTTCTCGCTGCACCGGCTTTGGATGGTTTGTCATTTGGATCAGGAAGAGTGATCTATCGAACGGGAACGACGACGACGACTCGAGAGCAGGAAACTTGGCCATCGTTTTGCTCGGTTTCCTTTTACGACTTCTTTCCGTGCGTGTTCTTCCGCATTGCCAGCAAACAGGAACATCAATGCTCGATTAGAGGTTATCGATGAAGATCGATGGCGCGCCGGATCGTTCGCGTTTAGAAATACGCACGATGTTAATAGTTGATATTATCGCTTGTAATTAGTACCTATTAAAAGATGATGGTCGTAAAAGATAATTAACGATGTTTAGCGATATTTTAACTTACCGTTGAATTTAATGCCCGAGATGGATGATAACATTGTTTAAGTTAGAGAGTTTTGTCGAGTTTGACATATAAGTTATGTTTGCGTTGAAGTACTGTACGGATTTCATACACGTTTAATCTGAAAAATAATTAATGAAAAGATTAGCGTAACTATCACATAGATTATTGAAGAATTAAACTCGTGCGTTTATAATGCACTTCGTGCATAGTTTATAGTTGAGACGACAATGACATAAATACAAAATTGTATTTACCGTTTTATTCGTACAAGAGTACAGAGATAGTGACTTGTGAAGGTAGCCGGAATTAGGCTATTTTACTATTCTAAACTACGACGCAAGTAGTTTAAATACAATTAACATCTACGATTGTAGGTTAAGTCTTCTAGGGCGGATTTGCAAATTTATGTTAATCAGGCATTTTGAGCCATTTTTCTACATACTCTCGACATTCCACTTAATAATATCGTCTTATGTCATTAATAACTACTTGTACTTTCACATCATTTTTATATTTCTTACATTGTACTCCTTTCTTTGGCAAGCTTTGGCTTTTTCTATCACTTGTAATATAATTGTTTATAATGTAACAGAAACGTTTTATTATTGTTTGTATTTTACTCCTATTTGCAATCCATAATTTACTCTAAAAGGATTAATAGGACGTGTTCTATAGCAGGACCCTGAAACACAGAAAGAATTCCACTTTTTCACATCATTGCGATTCAATTAGAACATGATAACTATTCGCAAATCGTCGACAAACCGTTAAAAATGTCTTTGTTTCACATACCAGGTACGCAACATGATAAAATCCGAGTTCTTTAACTCTGCGTTCCGCCATTCACCGCAACCAGCGGAATAAGCCGTGTAATAAAAATTATACACTCTCAACCCTTGGACTCGGGGTTCGTAATTAAAATTTAGCCGGTGATCTTGAGATAAAAAGCATGCACAGCTTTTTTTTAGGTAGAAGGGTGGAGTTGTGCGATTTTTCCCTCTGTTCGCCACTGTTGGTGGTTCCTCTTCGCGTTTGTTCCTCCCCCGTTGCTCGCTAGCTTGTTCGAGGAAAGTACGACGGGGCAAATTTAATTCTCGCTATGCCACGGATAAAAACGTATTTGTTGCGTGACGAGCCCACGCGTGGATGTAACGAGGAAACGCTTTTACATTTCCCACGACTGTTTCGCGGCGAAATCCGCAAAATGGCCTCTGCTTCGTCCTCTTCTTTGCCTTGGCTCATCATGGAGCGAAATATCCAGCGATCAACGATTTTCCGATCTCGTGTCAGCTTGATCCAGCGTGATCTAGAAAAAAAAAAGGAGAAATCGATCGATTATGTGGTATCGAGACAAGAACGGTGCGAATTGTTAGAGTTTGGGTTAAGTCGGTGGGAAATAAATGGTCTTTGGCATTCGTATTTATAGTGTTTCATGCAGCTGGAACGAAGTCGCAACTTTTTCTTGTTTGTAACTAGAAAAACACATCGGAAGGAAAAACGCGAAGATAAATCGTTTAAAGAGAATTGCAAGGAATTAATTGTAAAATGACATACGTAGAGTCAGATACAAAGTATTTGAGAAAAGTTGAAATATATAAAATTAATATCGCGATATTTTATAAAGCCTAATCTTTTTTGTAATATGAAAATGATTGAAAGAAGCTAACAACTGTTAAATTGATTTGATCCAATCAATTACAGGTTGATTGTTGGCATATTTCATAATCCATTTATTTCCCGCCACCCTAATAGTTTTGTCACCCTTCGCTCCTCTGCTTTCTTTCCTTTGTCATGGATGCAGAAGGATCGAGTTTTGTGTGCTTTGGGATATACTATTAGCTCGTTTATGATGGTCTTGTGTATGTTACTACAGGGAATTTACGGCGTTGCTTCAGTCAAGAGAGGCTTCTGTTTGATTGTAACAGGATGAAGGTGTTTGGCCCGTTTGCTTATGAACATGGTCACACTTTAAAGCTAGCTTCTGAGAGAACATTATGTCTACTATCTTTGTTGATGTTATTCTTCCAACGTTCTTCACATAGACCTGCAAATATCGATAATCATTGACCAAAAAACAGTGTAGCATAAATCAACGTACTCTATTAATTCATAATTAACACTCATTAATAGATAATTCGAATTTCATCAGGATAATAATAGTACCTTAAGAATCCAAATCAAATTTTTTAGCTGCATCGATAGAAGTAGAAAATCACAAAATATTCAAATTAAATCACTCACACCTTTTCCTTAAAAGAAAAAAATTGAAAGAATTATAAAAGCTGTCGAATTTTCCGGCTGTTCAATTTTCTACCTAAATTTCACACAACATCGATTCATTCCTCATCTAAGAGCGAAATTATTAATTTGATCAATTATTCACCGCGTGATTACACGACTGACCCAAAACTATAATCCGCCACTTTTGAATTAATTGCAAGAACGTATTCGACGCTCAGAATTATCCGGCAGACTAATAGGCCAAACACATTTGCCCGTCATTATATTCTAACTCGAATTAACGGATTTGGAAAACCGGATAAACGCCGGCTAATGCGAACATCGATGAGCACCGTTTGCGTATAATAATTGGAAGGCGGAAGTGTCGATCTCTGGATATCAGTTGAACGATTTAAACCGTTTAACAAACCCCGGGTCGATGGCTGATCCATTTGGAAAAGTAAGATCCACGCAGTTGGAACTTCGGTTCGCGGTGAATTAGCCTCGAACGGACTCGTTGGAATTTTTAATGTTCCCCGGAAGGCTGCTGTGCCGCGTCTGGGAAACACGTGGAGCCGATTTTCGCGTCGGCAGGAAGAAGAAACCGGCTGCAAGGAGTTCAAGAGTCGTTCGAGAATTATTTTAATGCCAGCATTCTGTCCGGTGAATGTTGCAGCACTTGCATGCCGATAATGATTTTCCGTAGATCATCGTGCGTTTCGAACAGCGATAGCAGCTTATAATGACCTGTAAAGAAACAGGGTTAAGGGAAAAGTCGTTGAAATAGCGTTGTACTGATTAGTACTGATTAGTATAAATTGAAAACTACGAAGAATAAAATTTTGATTACCGTATGCTGCTTAATTGTATTTCTTTCCATAAAAGTTCCATTTTCACTGAAGATTTATATTCTTTGCGATATTAGATAAGTTTTCTTTTTATATCGTAACTGTCGGCAAAACAATTTGATATGCTTCTTTCTCTGCAACTCGCCGATTTTTGATTTTTTGACGATTCAAATTTCGAATGGAAACTAATAATTCGACTTTCGTTTCATTTTTCATTGCCGGGTAGGAGTAAAACATTCCATCGATTACCTTACACAGGCAGAAATAGCAAACACGTGTTAAAAAAAGTAACATCGGCTAGTTCGCAGTCAGAATTTCGTTGTTTCGAAACGCAGAAAATTTCCACGGCGAGATTGCGTAACGCAAAATCGCTGGAATCGCGAACCGTAGTCGATTGTATAACGATCGGAAACGCTTTCCAGGTTTTCTACGCTCTGATTCGCATTTTTATGACCGTCTGGACGCGTTAGGATCTACCCTTTGGAAAACGTGGCGACTGCAACGAAAGAATTAATTTTCTAGTTCGTCGAGGGCGAAATAAAATGGAAATTCATTTTGTAACGCTTCTTGCCTTTTCGCTAGCATGGACACGCTCGATAGACAATTGTATCGAAACGGTTGCTCTTTATTTTTATCAGTAGGCGTAGAAATATTTGTTGATTTTCATCCCAGCAAGGAAACAAAGGAAACGCGAAAAATTTAATCACTTATGGAGATCAATAAGTGTGTTGGCTTTTAACAGTCGCAGTAAAAATTGCAGGAAAGATAAACACGATCGTTGAGTGATAGGAAAATATATACAGAATATTTTCTCTCATTTTACAATAACGATTATACTTTTTTACTCTGTGATTACTTCAATAAATATTACAAAATAAGCGTAATATTGTTTTATATAGTATCGTTCCAATTCATAGTACAGCATTCCGGAATATAAATTTCTGTGGTAGCTTGGAATCATTGCACGTCATTGTGTACAATCTTCTATTTGATTAGTGCGTACACGCTAATTTGCTTCCACGTCCATCAAGTTTCATTTACTCCTCGGCTTATAATACCTTAACGGTATACATTTAACGTAATTAAATTCCAAATTAGACTTGCATTAACATGAACTGCATTACCCAACGGCTAACCATATAAAACAAGATTGGCAATACGTTCAATTTAATTTTCGTATCTATGCCTGGTGCTCGGATACTTCGTTACAGAATTTAGCAACAGCGTTATTCCATCCATATGTACAAAGTTTCAGATGTCTGTGTTGTAATCAATCAAATAGGCATGACGCTCGAAAACAGCACGAGTCATTTTGGGTTCACTCCACCTGCTGGGTCGGTTACTATTTTTCTTGCACGTTCTTCAATTATACGGAACTTTCAAAAGCACCGACTGTTTCGCTACAGAGGCGAACTTCATCGTTTCCCGATACAAACTTCGTTTCAACTTCATCCACGAAACCAAGAAATTTCATTAAACCTCACGGAATCACAGCAATTTTTTCCACTCTCCTGTTCTGGTCGCGAATATAGTATCGACCAGTGATTGGACCGATTCTTTGGAATATTTTAACAGTCCCAGAAAATGAATAATGCCCTGAAAGATACGAAAAGTCGTGTACAGTAACAGCTATCTGTTGTAGAAAATCTCATATACGAATTTTTGTAAATAAAAAAATAATTTCGAGCAAATTGCATTTCGCTTACAAAATTGAAAGCTAGTTATTGATTCGAAAATTTTGTTAAAACGTTTTTATTAAGCGTTTCGAATAACCAAATTGTAAAATGTATTTGCATGTATGGATTATACAAACATTTTCAATGAAATTGGAAGACTGTATATTTAAAAAAATTCGTGTTTAAAATATATGATTAACATTCGAATACTTTTAAAAACAATCTTGATATCCTATACGTTTTCCAATTTAATCAACGGACGTTTGGAACCAGGAATCTCGTTAACCAGAAACACCGTGTAACCACTGTACACTTTAATGCCTAACCAAATTTACTATCCGACCGTACTTTTTCCGTCAATAGCACGATCGAATGATCCGCCATGCCCCGCAAAAACGCAGCCGGGCCAACGCCGGATTTATTCGTGTATGCGAATGCGCTCGAATTTCGGTTAATTTGCACGCATTAACGTTTACCTGCGAAACATCCAAACCTCGGTCGCAAGTTGCTGCGCCGGTGTACATATACGTGTAAATTAACAGAACTCGTGGGGATGGACCGCAACGAAGCGGGGGATGAAAGGGGTACGAAAGGGGGATGAAAGAGAAAGCGACGGGTACGAAACGCAGAACAAGATGGAACGGGTTGAAGTGACAGAGCGAGAAAGAAGGGGATACGTGGAATCAGTGAGCGGTTCTCTTTATGCACGCACCTGCACACATCAATGAAAGTTAACGCATAACGCGATACCGCGTTGAACCCACGGCTAAGAGGATAATGCCGTTATACCTCGTGCTCGATAGCTATTTGCCCAGTGAATTCGAAATATCTTTGTCGATTTTTTCACGGGCCGATGGAACTTTCACGGAGTCTCGCACTCACCGTAGAAACGGCACTTGCGCATAAATCCCGATGATTATGGTCTCTTCGTGTATACGTGTGCATTCCTGTGTACGTATACGTGTTACCTTGTTCGCCGACTAGTCCTGGATGCAGTCTCCGGGTACTGAATAAAGTTGCACTCTCGGGGAAAATTCGGTTTCGCACGGGCCTCGGGTCTAGAAGGAGTCCAACTACATGGAGAACCGTGTTTCACGTTTGAACGTTCGCGTTGGATTATTTCGTGGCTCGTTCAGACGGATGGGAAACTGCAAGAGGAAAGGTTGCTCAGTTTGATTCGATTTCGAGGGATTTGTTGGGGAGAATTTTATTTTCTTAGGATTAGCTCCGTCTCTCGATACCGAGCATGTTGACCGGAGGAGAAGAAAATCTTCTATACGTGCTGAGAAAGGTTAAATACCTCTATTAACGTGTAGGATCGATAGAACTTCCAAGATGCTTGACAGAGGAAAATTTTCTCTTCGAAGATCTTCTTAAAATTGAAACTCCTATTTGCAATATACCTTCAAAGAAGGAAACTTGTTTGCCCGAGGATTGAACTGAAAGGATTTATAATAGGATTAAGTTGCTTGTTATTTCATGAAGTCGCGATTAATTTCAATTCATACTGGATTTAAAAACTTCAAACTACAATGGTTTTAATTAGCATCAATGAGATAGATTCGTTTAACTCATCTTAGATAGAATAGATTATTCATACCAATTCCAAAAGTCATCCAATTTCGCAGTATTTCACTTCAGGAAGATCAAGATGATAAACAATTCGAGTGTTAAATCCACCATCTATATAACCTGAACCGAGTCGAAGGCTAGAAGATCATCACTCACTCGCAGCTCACTCCTCTCCCTGGAAAAACGTTACAACCAAAGAACTATGCAATGAATTACGTTTCTAGCGGTACGAGGCAAGCGTATGTTCAAATGTCTGGGATAAAATAGCTACGTAACGTGTTCCTGGAAGTAAAGCTTTGGAAGAATTTCGTTTACAGGAAGACGATTGTTCGCGGAATAACCGCGAGTCGAGAGACATGGAAAAAGAACAGATAAAAGAGTGCAGGAAGGAGTGAGGGTAGGGTCGTTTTTCGGCACGATCTAGATGATAAAGCAAGGGGATTGCAGCGAAGTTACGTCGACAATAAAATTCGCCAGCGAGTGTCTTAGACTGCATCGGAGAATTTTTCCGAGCGGCAACACGCAAGCAGTTTACGCAAGAAGGTCCCAGTGACTCTCGTGTAATCGTCGTTATTACGTAAGACTTTTTTATTGTAGCTTCATGTTGCAAAGCAGACGCGTGGTTTTCGCACGCCTGCAACATGTTTTCAGAATAGAAAAACCAACTTCTTCGCGTTTGTCGAGATTTTGACGACGATAGTTTTTACGATTTAATTGTACAGTCGTCGCGAGACGTATTTTGAAAGGATATTGTTCGACAGATTTCACGTGATAATCCGCAACGTTCTATTTGTGTCTGACGTGAGATATAATGTTGGACTGGTATCTGGAATACAATGGTACGACGATCTGAGACGCAGTTCGTATATGGTAGAGGAAGCTAATTGGTTCATAGTAGTCCCTTTTCACGAGAATTACTTTGTTTGAAATAACAGCAGGTGGTACAGCTGTAGAATGTCCAAGAAAGGTTGTATTACAATCTGAGTTTAGGAACTTGCACTTCATAGTACTTTCAAAATCTTGAATCCATCTACGAAGAGTTGTCCTGGAAAATTTGATCAAAGTGATTAATATGTTATGTAAAGTTATTGGTAGTATTGAGGATCTAATATTTTGCAAAAGTTCTATACTATTGTGGCAATTAATATTTATAATGCTTATTGAGGCAACGAAGTTCTAAAGGTTAAATATCTTTTTCACTTACCCTAATGAATATTGTGTATTAAAGTTTGTCAAAATCATTTTTAAATATGGTAATTGCAAGTTAAAATTCATCTTTACAGTATCGACGAACCGCTTTCGACGTGACTTCAATTCATTAAAATGTATTGCTACGATGGTAGCCCCGTTGGCTTGCAAACGCAAACAAACGTAGGCTATTTCGGTAATTGTCAATATTTAAAAGGTCAGATCTCTGCGGTTTGTTGCGCAATATTGAAAATAATAAGCTAGTCTGTTCATCTGGAATTCGTGTTTGTGCTCCTCATGGATAGATAAAGGGGATCTGGTGGCTGTGTCGAGCTTCTTGAATGACGAAACTCAATTAAACTTGCCGGCCGCGAAATAACATTCCCGAAATGGGATTTATGGCAAAGACGAAAAACAGATAGGTGGAACAGAGGCTGAATGTCTCCGACTCTGAAGTATTACGACCGAAAACGATGCGGATCGCCGGGCGAGGCAATCGAAGTCTGCCAATCACGATTTCAATTTGGACTGCAGATTTTTTTGCAGCCGTTCTACTTCTTGTATCGGTTTCTCCACTGGCAAGGGCCGGTCGGCAGATCGGGTTCTACTTTCTAAATCTAACGCGGCTAGACAACTCGTCCTGCAACTTTCCGACAAAACGTTAAAACGTTGCTGCAACGTTGATCTTCTTGTTTATTATTGTTCCAGACGTAACTCGATTGGTATCGATCATTCGTCAAATGTGATTTTGCATGCATTACATGGGTCGATTTGCTGAAACAGATAATTTGCTTTAGTATGTTTTTATGTATATTATTGTAAATAGAGTTTATAAACAAATGTAACAATAAAGGATGGTATCTTTTGAAAAATAAATTTCTGTTACTTTTTCATGTATTGTGTTAATCCTTTAGTACCATTCTATTTACTGCTAATATGCTTTCATGTCCAACATCAAAGTGGAACATATTAAGATGACCTCTTTCCATTAGGTTATTCTGTATAGTATACTGCATTAAGCAACGCTACAAGCAATGTGATTTTCCGTGAATGTCATAATGTATTTCGTTTTTGTTAATAATTCTAGTCAATTTTACCTTTGAGTATATTTATCTCTAAGTTCATCTGATGCAGCCTGTATTAATTTTCGTATTCGTTAACCTATGACGTGTGCCTGACTATAATTAGAATTATTTCACTTTATACTTTTTCTTCTGACGTGCTCGACAATTTCGTTCGTTCTTACGGTTCATTAAATCCATATTCCTTATACGATACTTTATTTATAAAGTTTATAAAATTATTTCTGTAAATATCATATTCCTAAAAATTAAATGCACAAATTTTATTTAATTTTCTCAGTACTTATACAATTTTTCAAATTTTACTACTGTTATAGCGAAAGATGTACAATTTATCGTATAACTTACCATAGATATATTTATTTCTCGAAACCGCAAAGATCGATAGGTCACCTCCGTAATCAGCTAATGTCACGTTTATTGCCTGAAACAAGGAGCGCCTTCGCATTTCAATAGCACACTTTACCAATCGATTTTGGTTATAAAGAAGGATTAAGAACGAAGAAGATGGACAGGATTCGAGTAGCAGTAGTGTGCAATCGAGATTTACAATTGCGTTTGAACTTACGGAGGAAAGTCGTTGCACGTAGAAGAATAATCCTCTTTCCTTGACCGTTCTTCTTTCCGGTAATTGGATTTGCTCGCTCGTACGTTTCAGCGCATAAGGAACCACGTTAAGTCGACTTTGTTGGGAAGCTAGTATCAAAGGTATCCTCACAAGCAGCGTGGTCGACGGTTGGTGAAGCTCGAGTGCGATCGATTCTCGAAGTCACCGCACGATCGCAAGGGAAATGACAAAAGCACAAGTCGTTCACAATACTAATCATTCGGTATATCAAACTACACCGAAACTTCAGATTTTCTAAAATAAAATTTAAACATTTATAACTTCTTAAATAATTAAATTATAAATATTCAATTATTCTAAGTACTCGTCACAACTGAATTCGTTAATTGATTATTATTTGCGATGTAAAATAAAACGCAATAAATGTCGTTGAATCGGTCCGTATCGATCGTGAATCTATTTTACTGCGATTATTTCATTCTTATCAATCTCAAGTTGATAACCATAATAACAGAATATAAATTGAAGTCGGGATCGAATTATTCGCCCTAAAATTCTATTCGATGAAATTATTGCGTTAACATAGTTCACGAACAAGTCTAGCAAAGGTTTACGACTCTTTTCTTTTACGCAGTTCAACAATACCTTGTATTTAATCCCCTTATCTTGAGAAAAAAGCACACTGCACAGAGTTTTTTTACCGAGCAACAAAATACCTCGTTACTTAGTCATCGGATATCGAGTATATTGTTTCCCCTCGGGAAGCGTGAAAAATTCTCCCGGCGAGAAAGTATTTTCTCCCGTTGAACAAAGAGGTCACGACGATTTGTTGCGGAACAATGAGGATCTCCCAGTGTCGTCAGGGCGGTACTGTAGGCTTCGTTTAACCGACAGGAGAAAGAAGGTTAAACGCTTTGCACGGCAATTATCGATACTAGCGTTTATATTCGTGGATGAGTTCCGGTATGGTTCTTGCTAGAAATGATTTAAAGTATTTCATAATTATCGTTGGAATAAAATGTACCATTCATAAGTCGTATCATGAAAATAATTCCTCCTGTCGTTTCTGATTCGCAACTTTCCGATCATTTGTGTATCATTTTCGTGGACGATTAAACCGACATGCGCTCCTCCTCGCGTCGAAACTACAAATTAGGATTTATAACCCTATAATATTCGATTGCTAGCCCGGCAAAGCTGCTCGTAAATCTCGCGGCATACAAAATTGGACAACATTGGTTGGTGATTTATTAGTCAGTCGGTAACTACTTCATTACGTGTCCGGGAGGTCAGTAGCGAAAATTCTGGAACTTGATTACTTGCTCGGCGTTCTAATGCGACGAATTTAATCAGTGATTTTTTTTTATGTGTGGAGTGTGCTTTGGATTTTTTACCCCTGAACAGAACCAGGTAAATGCAAAACACTTTAAGTTAATTAAGCTAATAAAATTAATAATACAGGAGGGCACGAAATTGATAGGATTAATATTATAAACGAGTGTCGTTAATTAAATATCAGATGAGAATTCAAAATTGTAATTTTAAAATAGCATAGATTTCGAATGTATCTCTCTGAAGTCAAATTCATTTTGCCAAGTTTTAGCATGAATCGACTTTTGTTCATAAATCTTTCTATATGCGAAGTTTCGAATCTTTCTCTTGCTTAAAGTTTAAACAAAGCGAATGATATAAAAATGATTGACGCAGACTCATGAATTGAGTTTGCATGTAGAGAATGTATAATATATTATATCTTGTATTGTGTCGGTTACGTCGTTTGAACGTTGTTTAAATTTACTATTTGTCACGGAGAAGAAAGTTGTAAAATATTCTACAATGCATGAAAATTTTATAACTCGGAGTGTACTTGATTCATGGCACATATCATATTTCAGTATGATGAATAGGGTAGATGCGTATAAAAATGAATCGCAGATTTTCGCTGGGTCGGAATAGTGTTACTCAGGCGCATGCACATTGATACTGTTAGTCGAGCAATTTCTATGGTTGCATTAGCTATAAATTGAACGAGGCAGAATTCTAAGCACGTATATTATGCTACAATCGTGAAATTAGGAAATTTTTATTCATATAACTCCTCTATATCGGCACGAACAATCGCGACTTGCAGCAGCCGAGTAGATGCTTATATGTATACAAGGTTTGCAGTGACGATCGATATACTCAGTCGCAAGCGGTTGCGGTAGGTTAGTTGTTTCCTTGCTGTAATAATGTACGAGAGCATACACGATTAGATACGTGTTTGATGTCCTAAATTTTTTAACAATTGTTTTAAAATTTTCAAACAATACATAACTTAACCTTAAATGTCGTTAGTATTTTACGAACTTCTATTCCTTTATAGAGCAGATACCCATATCGAAGAATATTACGAAAAAGAACCAAGTGCTTCTAATTGCGTAGATTAGTTTCGTAATAAATTTGGCGGTTCGACACTATCGACATCTATGTGAAGCGACACGCAATTAGTTTTCGATCAGATATTGGCCAATGATAATTGACGTATACATAGTTCTCGATGGCCAATCATAATCGACGTATGTACAGTTCTCGATGGCGGGAAGTAACAGTTATGGCGCGAAAGAAAAGTAAAAAGAAAACGTGTTACAGAGTATCGGCGTGCACGCGTCAAGCGTACAGGTAGAAATTCGCGCATAGTTCCTGTGGGCGATCGATAAATTCAGTCATACACGGTTGTGCGGTGCGTCAGTTCTGTTTCTCGGCATAGTAATATCGCGCGTGTGTGTATAACTAACGCATTGAATTTCGTACAGCTCGGGGAATGATTGTATAACGATGAACAATAGGACTTGGGACTCTAGCGGGAGGGCATTATGGCAGAGCGGATGTTGTATAACGGTTAGCCAGCGAAGAGGAACGAGACGGGAGCAGCAAACCGTAAACGCCACGAGCGTTCATCCTCCCTGTCCTTTTTCTTCTTTCGCGTTTCTTTTTACCTGTCTCTCTTTTTCTCTTCCTGTCTCTCTCCTCCTACCCCTTCCTTAATTTCCTCTTTGTTTCTCGCGACACTCTCTTTCTCATTCTGTATTTCCATCCGATACTATCTTTTTACTTTTGTTTGGTTCTCTCCTTATACTCTATAACCTTTCTCTCTATTTTCTTTTCTCTCTTCTTCGATCTCCGTTTTTCTCTCATCTTATTCACGTCTATATCTATTTTGTCTTTCTTTATCTTCTTTTGATTTATCTCTTTCTCCCTCTACCGCTTGATTCCCCCTCCACCGTTCCCTGCGCCGTCGAGCATTCTCTAGCTGCTGCCTTCCCATTGTACAGGTGTAAGTGCGCGCGCATTAATGTGCGAGTAAGAGAGAAGATTGCAGCGCGGTACGAATGGGAGAGGGAAAGACAAGTCGAGGACAGAGCTTATTTTCGCACCTGCCAGGTATGTATTCGCGTTATTCGACAAAATTTTCAATGTACACCCCAAAACTATTGGCTCGCATTCACCAGCGTATCAACGCGCATGCCATTTAGGAGATTTTGTTGGTTCGTGTTATTTGACCGGTGTCTCGCATCGTATAGGTTAATTGGACCTCGTCTTTTCTCTTGTCTTTAGATATTTTACGATATCACGTGTAAGGTAACGAATAGATATTGGGACCTGAAATGGGAACAGGTTTTATTAGTTATTAAAAGGGAAGAAAAAATATTATATATCGCCGATATAGACGGGCATCGTTGTGTTCCATAATAACGACATCAGGCGAGAAGAGGTGGCGCTTGCAGCGATTGATCGTCGCTTCAGACGTTTTCTATTAATAAACGTCGATATAAAAAGGACAAGTACATAATTCGTTGTTAATTCTCCGTGGCATGGTAAATGGTGTGCACGACCATTACACTCGCGGTTGAGGATGAAAATTACCCTTAGCTTTTCTCTCTCTTTCTTGATAACCTGCTCGCAACGCTTTTTTTTTTATTTTTGTTCTTATTTATATCAGAAAGAGAAGGGGAAGTAGCGTGTTTACTGTGCACGTAACACCATCGCTGTGAAACGATCTCGATCGCTACACAACCCGAGTTTTTATTAAATACACGGACTTTGTAGAACGTAAAATAAATCGCAAAAATGGTCGGAACTTCGTATAATTGGACATTTCAAATCACCACCTTCTCATAATTCGCTTTTATTTGCTTCCCATCAATTCTTCAAACAGATTGAATAATAAGGTGTGTTTCGACCGATAAAAATAAAATATACCAACGTTTAGTGATACATTAAAATCACGATTCAAATTCGAAGATTTTGGAATTACCATAAAAATTGAACTTGAGGCACATAATTAATCTCGATTCTCGTGACGTACACGATATCCCAGGATTCGAAACATAGGCTAGTTAAAATTTCATTAAAGAATCATCGAACGGTATAACATGTAGAAACAATCGATAATAGTGTATGAATGAATAATTATCGGTGTCGGTTTTATATTGGCAGGAGTGGTCAACAGTTTCGTCGATGACATTACCAGCAGGATCAATTTTAGCGATTAACGGCTCGCTTTCATTTAGGATCGTATTAATCCTAAAAGCCAGCTTAACCGCTTTCTTCGTATTTCATTTTTTAACGATCTTT